ATAAACCTTGAAGAAGTATCGATAAACCTTGAAGAAGTATCGATAAACCTTGAAGAAGTATCGATAAACCTTGAAGAAGTATCGATAAACCTTGAAGAAGTATCGATAAACCTTGAAGAAGTATCGATAAACCTTGAAGAAGTATCGATAAACCTTGAAGAAGTATCGATAAACCTTGAAGAAGTATCGATAAACCTTGAAGAAGTATCGATAAACCTTGAAGAAGTATCGATAAACCTTGAAGAAGTATCGATAAACCTTGAAGAAGTATCGATAAACCTTGAAGAAGTATCGATATACGGGTGGTGCAAAAAGGAAAAAGAACTGTTTTGAAACTATGAACGAAAATATCATACTGAACTCTAAGTTATGCAATACCAACTGAAAGCCGGAGAATCCTTGAGAAGCTAAAACTCGCCCAACTAGTCAAGAAATTCCCCGCGTTATATGAAGCCGCCTTCGCAAGAGTTCGCTACTAGTCCCTGTCCATAGCCAGATTAATCCAGTCCACATTATCATATCCTGTTATGTATGAGAGTCATGCCTGATAGCTTATGCAGTTATATTTTGCTTACGTTCAATATTATTCGTTTTGTGTAGTAGAACGTGACGTAGGCGCATTAATGCTGCCCAAGATTAAATTTGTGTGCATTATTATGGGAGGGGTTTAACATTCAAAACCTTGTCAAATGCGTGGAGCAGGAAGACCGTGTTTTAGTTTTATTTATTAATTATGAATAGACAATGAAACACTTATACAAATCGATCCTGCTAATAGTCGTGTCACATTTGATCGATATATATCTGTAAGAAAATAAAAGAGCAGTGTGTTTCAAGGCGAGACAAATTATAACCGGAAGGCGCAATTTGTATGAGTGGTAGCCTAATGTTAACATGACTAGAAAAAATTAACACCTTCAACAGGACGGCATTTATACATAGGAGGGGGGAAGGGAAAGGTAATTTGTACAAAGTTTAAACTGTTAATAAAACACGTGCAATTATGTTGGACACTGTGGCCATCATCGGGCTGGACAACTATAGTTTTCTTTCCGAAAGAAAATGGAATTTGTGTCTTTATCTCCGAGTTCGGACCGAATCTGGGATCAGCCAACTTTCCAATGGATGGGTACAGCGGTACAGTGGTTCTGTCCTCCGGGTAATGCGACTGTGGCCTGAGACTGACCTCCCCACCTACACCTAATGTCGAAGTTAACAATGACTGGCATGATTATTTATTATTGAACTGAATTTTATATACACAGTACAATAGGACCCTTCGGTGTTAACTCCTGGTTTTTGCTGGATGAACACTTTCTCTTTACAAATCATACATTCCATTGATACAATTTTGTTTCCATTAATTTTATTCGCCTACTCCAATTTCACCATTTCTTTTGTTCACAAGCCTCCACCATTTCCTTCCTACTTTAAACAGGTATTTTTCAATATCCTTGACAAAAACTGTTATTACAATTACGAATTGGCCTAATAACAATTTCTTCGTGCGGGTTTAGGCATTTTTTATACGTTAAATTCTCCCTCAAATCTGCAGTTTTACACTAATCCAAAATTATGAATTTAATATCTACCGATTCATCACACAAATGAAAAAATTCCTTTCGCAGATTTAGGTTAAAGTATATTTTATAGGAATATTATGTTGGAAATTGTCCATTATGTGAGGTGTAACTGATTTACAAAACATTAATTAATTAATTAATTAATCCCCGTTAATCCGTCCGAACTACGGAAAAACTCTTTATTATGCACTTACCTCCAGCCTCTTGTTACATATTGCCAACTTGTCGACTGAAGACACTTCAGCCATCTAATAAACTTTGTGTGTTGTCAAACAAACATCACGCTATACCTCAGCCATCTAATAAACACTATGACTGTAATTGAAAAGTTGTGTTGATGAATAACAGCATTCAGTTTAGCAAAAACTCTGTTTATTGACATCTAATATTTTCAACTTCTTACACAATACAGAAAGCATTATCCATTCTACTGAATTTTCTGAGAATACATCAAGGCCAGTGTTTGTACTTGACTGAAGGCACTATTTTGGCTATATTGGTTTTCACTGAAGGTCGATGTATATAATTCTGCATTTGCATAGCTGAATTTTTCATGAAGTGAGACTTTTGATAAAATTGCGTCAGAACCAAAAGATTGCCTAAATGTAAGCGTCTATTTTCATTCTTGTTTCTGGTCAGATTGCTTCTGATTCAACACAGTGCCATTAAATATGCCTGTAAGCAAATGTTTACCGACGTGAGATTTGAAAATGCAATTTTTTTTGTACTTCTGATGGACTATCGATTATCGCATTCTTATCGATTTTAAGCACGATATTAGAGAGTGAAGCCTTCAGCACAGTGCTCCACTCTGTTGTCAGGAGGTGGATACTTGCAGCAGCGTGACAGTAGCACTCCAAGGGCTGCGAGGATAAACGAGAGCACTGCAATCCCACATACAGCACCTCCCGCTAAATCTGTCAGGGGCTCTCCCGGTTTCGGTTGCAGTGTCATAATTGCAATCAGACCAGCACATGTAAGCAAGCTAAACGTGCTCAGTATCACGTAACCTGCAACAAACAAACGAAATACTTATTACTACAGTGCAGCGATTCCCAAACGTTCTACTTCGCGATACATTTCTAAATTCTTCAGCCTGATGACCCACAGATTGCCAATGAAGGGCAAATTACAAACTTTTGTGTGTGAATATACTAGTGATATATTTTAATTGTTCTGTTCTACAAATGACATCGATATTTCAGTGGATGTGTGACAATGGAATATATCCTTTCCTCTGTAACCATACCACGATAGCCACAAAGAGAAATAATGTTTGGGGTGGGATCGAATATCGACATGATATACCAATTATTTCAAAACAGGTCCTATTTATTTTACGAGTTTGGTCCCTACTGGTTACTTCAAAGCTCCACATCAGGACAAATAAAACCAGAACACGAGATTATTGTTTGTGTTTCACGCAAGACATCGAAGCTTTTGGAACATTTGCGAAATTCTGGAATACAAAACGTATTCAAAAACATCTAAGTTTGTAACGCGCGCCATTATGTAATGTCTAGTGGGAAAAGTAAAGGTTGGTACCTGTGGGTGGGGTAATGTTGGTAGTTCGCAGACCAGTAGTAAACAACGCGCATTGTGCAGAATGGAGGAACGTGTGTTTAGTGTCAAAACGTTTCATCAAACAAGTTTTGTGACTGTGCAGAGAAGGAAATTAAACACTCTACGGGCTTTAGCAAGATCTGCATTCAACCGTCTGACACACACACGTACGAGTGAGCTGGTTGTACTTGCGACAAGGCGTGGTGGCGAAACACAGGTAAACACCCTAGCGATGTACCCAGTAACTAGGAATAATGCGATTGGATTTGAGGTTATCTTTACATGCCCATCGCTTTCAGCAATGGGTAGATTACATATGAACGTTTCGGAGAACATATTGTCTCCATCTTCATCTCTCGACGTCCTTGCAAATGTTCACTTACCTGACAAGTAATTTCTGTTTGGAAGCCACTGCCATCGCCTAGATCTGAATCCTAGACAACCTAACAGAACTGATCCGAATCCAGACATTACTCCGAAATCCAGATAGTAACGTCTGCCATTCTGTTGAATAAATAAAATAAAAAACTAAATAAATAAACAGTAAAATAAATAACACGGGTTAAATTAATGTAGTATAATTTATATTACTGCGTATGTATGAAATAAATTTAAAAAAAATACGAAACTGTACATTAAATTTTAAATCAGACTGGGTAAATATACACAATACAAATATAATACTAGAAGTATAACAATAGATTAATCTGGCTCCGGACATAGTCTAGTAGCAGGCTTTGCTGAACCTTCGGTTTACACAAAATACGGATAACTAGCTGAGAGACTCCATGAAGTTAGGTTAGGTTAGGTTAGGTTAGATTAGATTAGGTTAGGTTAGGTTAATTTAGGTTGGGTTAGGTTAG